GCTCTACTCAGCACTAGTGAGGACGCAACTGGAGTTCTGTGTAAAGTCTTCAGTTCCACACTTTAAGAAAAATGTGGACAAATTGGAGAATCTAGAGGAGAGTAACAAAAATGATAAAAGGTTTAGAAAATGTGAGCTATGAGGAATGGTTGAAAGAATTGGGCATGTTTAGTCTAGAGAACAGAAAGCTGATGGGGGGACATAACAGCCTTTTAATATGTAAAAGATTATTACAAAGAAGATGGTGATCAGTTGTTCTCCATGTCCACTGAGGGTAGCACAAGAAGTAATTGTGCAGCAAAGGAGCTGTAGGTTAGATATTGGGAAAATCTTTCTAACTATAATGGTAACTAAGCTCTGCAACAGGTTATTGAAGGAGGAGGTTGTGGAATCCTGCAGGTTTTTAAGAACAGGTTAGACAGATATCTGCCAGGAATGGTCAAGGTTTACTTGGTTCTGCCTCAGCTCAGGGGGCTAGACTTGATGACCTCATGAGGTCCCTTCCAGTTCTACATTTCTGCAATTCTGTAAGTTACATCCAGTCAAAATAGATCTGGTTTTTTTTCAAGAGCTGTTTTCCACATTGAAAGTGTACAAATGAATGTATTTAAATAAAAAACTGAACATTTTTGTAGTCACTTCATAAAAAGCAAAGTTTATGGGGATGATAAAATCAAAAGAAACAGAATGGTGAAAATTTTCACATCAACTTAGTAAAGCTATCTGGGCTATGTCTATTTAGCACATCTCTAGGCAGAGATGACTTTCAAAACTTAGTTTTTGTGGGTTTAAGTCAAATGTTTACCATTATATTTGTATGTAATATAATTTAGTCTAATCTGACACTTCTTTGCATTGCCAGATCTCAATGGACTTATAAGGATTTTAACAGGCTCAAAGTGCTGCTGAGCTTCAGCCATGAGGCTTCCTTTATAGTTTGAGACATGTCACTCTTCATTAAATCAATAAAACTGGTGTCTGAGATTACAAATTTGTGCCCAATATCTGTCATCTCTTTATAGTGTGGTGCCAGTTGCTCAAATACAAAATATTGTTTCCATTATAGAAAGAATCCAGCTAACTTCAAAAATGGAGAACCCTACACTCAATAGGTAGCAGTGCAGGATACTTACCTATTTACCAAAACACTAACTCTACTTATGCTGCCTGCCTCACTGAGTTAAGTTCATCGCAAGAATCACATAAAGAACAGATTTAAGGATGTTGGCATTTATAAAAAGTTATTTTAACTCTTAACACACAATTAGCATTTCAAAAATATACTTTTTGTATACAGGTCATTGAGTATGGTTGTTCTTTATATGAAAATCAATTAAAAATCGGTACCGGGGATGAAATTCTGGCCCCACTCAACAGCAAAACTCCCACTGATTTCAATGAGTCCAGGATTTCACCCCAGGAATTTATCAGAGAAATTTTCTTATTATAAGCTTGAAACCAGTGCTTCTCATATCCCATTCATTTGAAGAAATCAGTACAGCACAATAGGGATATTTTGCACATTACTGTTTAGCTAAAGTGAAGCCATTCTGAATCTTTCCAGGCATTTTTGAATCCATGAAGCTAACCTTCAATATAGACTGTTTTTTGAGTTTTCATTAATAGAGTAATAATAACTTTAGCTCTACTAGATACTTAGCATTACTGATTAATTATTCCTCACAAGCCCCTATGAGGTAAAAGCTCTCCTGAGAGGTGCTGCTCACCCTCAAAGAGATGAAGGTATTCAACACTGTGCTCTCCCACTGAAGTGAACTATGGGGTAAAACCACTCAGCAGCTCACAGTCAGTGCCCAGTACTTTAGGCCTTGAGAGGTTGAAAGGCTAAGCAATTAGGCCAAGGCCACACACAAAGTCAGTGGCAGAGCTGGCATTATAACTCATGAGTTCCTGGCTGATAGCCTTGTGCTGAATCCACTAACCCATCACACTTCCCCTCCTGGTACATACAAGACTGGTGCATTTTAAATTCTCTCTCTGTTTTTGTCATCCTCTCACATGTAAGTGATAGGATCAGAGGGTGCCTCTCGCCCTACATTTGTCAGAAAGTCTATGATTTTCACCAAGTTACTCAGGCTATTTGGTAGCTATGGATGTTTAGAAAAAGACAGTCTAAAGCCACAATAGCACCCTGACAGGAAAAGATAAAGTGTTGCACCACTAATCTCATAGACAAAAGTCACAGTGAAAAGTGCTTGGCCCGGACTTAATTAATTTCTCTATTTGTTTCTTTTTGGGGATCCAACATGAATGTTCAGGTTTCTGAGTGGCCTCATACATTCAGCTAGTGGCTGGAGTAAGATCTATTGATTTAACCCTCCCTCCAAATCAGAAATGACCTCAGAGGAAAAGGAACTGAAGTTGAAATATAGTTTAATAACTTCAATACATGTACTAGATTGTGCTGTATAAAACAGGACAGCTCAAGGCATTGCCTCAGTTTTCAGACGTCATGTAAAATTTACAGGTATTGTATTGTTTGTTTACTTTGTGTAACTTAGATATACCGTTTTGCATGCAAGAAAATGCTTCTCAATTCTGCAAGACTTTTAAAGTCTTAACAACCTCCACATCAAAGGGATCAATCCAATTCCCATTGAAGTTAAGAGTTAAACTCCCATTAACTTCAATGGGTGAAGGAGCAAAGGCCTAAGTTCTTTTATTAAAATATTTGAAGTTCTGTAAATGTTAAAATCAAACAAAAATCTAGCTTTAATGCATCATCTTATTTACTATAAAAGTGGTGCTAGGGAAAGCAGAGGTTTAGGGTATGCTGGTTTGGGGCAAAAAGTATAACTGTGTGTGAGGGAGAGAGAATGGAATAGGTTTTCTGATCCTCCAGGACTTTCCTGATAGTCTCCAAGAATTAAAAATTAATCTTTAATTAAAGATTGTCATGTGATGAAACCTCCAGGAATATATCCAACCAAAACTGAAACCCTAGAGTGGAAGTGAAATATACTGTAGCCCTGATTCTACAATCCACCCAAGAGTGGAGAGGCGTGGTTACAAGGAGCCAGTTGTTGCTCCTCTGCCTAGACCGGGCACAAATTAATGCTGCAGGAGGACAGCCATAATTTATGCTAGGAGAGGATCTGGTGTAGCAGAGCACTGTTCCCTCTCCCCTTTTAGTCCCCACACCCCTAGAAAACCCCCAGTACACTTCCTCCTTCCCATTTTGCTCTGGGGTTGCAGGGAAGACTGCTGGGGCAGAAGAGCTACCTCAGCCAGATTTATGTCAGTAGAGAGTTCCCCCATATGGGGGATTTCTCTCCACTGGTCTTCTCCAGTCACTTTAAGACCACTTTGCATTGCCTATACGGTGCAATGAGACCATAGCAGAATCCAGCTCTATATATTTATGGCAAGTATGATATATATATGTGAACATTTATTCCATATAAACTCTTTGCCTTCCTACAGTATGAATACATACGACTTAATGTAATTAATATTAAACACAGGGCCCCATCATATAGCCCTCCCTCATGTGAATGGGCCAGTTGACTTCAGCAGAACTGTTTGTGTGAGTTAGGGCTTGAGGATGAAGTCCAAATATACTGTAAATTTTATTTTTGTAATTTTATTTTCTGCCTCTATTACTTATAGATAAAGAGTGAGTTTGAGAGTAGCAGAAATCTGCCTTTTATAAAAGGCAATTTGGAGAAACTCTTCAACTCTTGAACCTTGTAATTTGCCTTATTCTAAAGGAATACTGCAGTTAGTCTCTAAGGTACCACAAGTACTCTTTTTCTTTTTTTGTATGTAATGAGTATCTCAGGTTTCTTCTCTACTGTCAAATCCAGCAAAACCTCAAGTTATGAATACATCCGACAAATAGTTTAGTGTAATAATTTTAAGCTACAATAAGAGTAACTGATATTTCTGTTGACACCTCAAATTACCCCCATCTGTAATGTTTGGTGTAGGTACCATAATAAAAAGATTGCTTAACACAATCAGATTAGAAAACAATTTAACGGATGGCCACAAATAGAGCGTAGAGTTTGTCATGGCTACAAAGATTTTCTGTCAGTGTATAAAAGCAATTAATCAGTATGCAGAAGGTATTGCCTATCCCATAGATATGCTAATTTTTTGAAACTTTGGAAACTCATGTTCTACATTTACTGTTCACACTGGATTGAAGTTAACCATACACAGCTTGAGCTGATGAATTCAAGACTGCAAAATGTCACATTTTCTTATCCCTGTGTTGTCCAATTTTGAGATCTTTAGGGGTTTTTTTCTATATGTTGATTACTGTGTAAAACACAGTAATCTAATGAGTGTACAGTGAAATTTAGCACAGAATTCTGTGACCAGTTTTTCTATTAAAAAGTTAAAAAGGATATCAGATGCCTGCTAAATTATTTGTTCCAAAATTACCAAAAATACATTTAAGACAAATTATATGGTAGCACATTAAAGATCAACTAAGTTCAACACATTATCCTTTTTCTTTTTTTCTTTTTTCTTTTTTTTTTTTTACAGAGTACTGTGGCAGCTAGTTGTATCTACAGTATTTATATAAATGATGCACATATATATTATTCATATTATATATATTATATAATCTTTTATACTACATATTAAATGTGAACAGTAGTAATCTGTCAGTGAACATATTCCCCCCACTTGCTTTAATTTGAGAGCTAATATAGAAGGTGGTTCTTATCAAGAAAAGGCACTACATTTACTTCAGTAGTTTCAACAATTTGTAGTCCAGAACATTTTCTGAAAAAGCAAGGAAAAAGGAACAGCAACTACAAAACACAAGACCAAATGCATTTTCTTCTATACCTGTCTCTTTAAATGAGATCTTCCAATCATTTTGTTTTGAAAACCTTTTAGAGAATAAACTACTTTGTTAAATGTATTCCCCTAGAGAGTTGTACAGAAAAATAGCACAGCAGTTAATTTAGCTACAATTGCTTTTTTACCGGCAATGTTAAAACTGTATAGCTGTTATGACTCACCTAAAGCAGAATCACAGATTAGCTGCTGTGGATGTGCAGGGGCACAGCTGCATGCCTCTACCAGCTCCTGAATTCTGAGGGTGAAAAGAAGCACTGAAGACAACAAGGTACTGTGTACAGGATTCATGCTGCCTTCAACACAGCTAACTGGCCAACTAAAAGAAAATAGTCTCTTACTGTTGATCTTATATCTAAACTTTCTAATCTCTGTGCAGTTCAGTTTCAACAGACTTAGATGGTTTAGAAAAGCCCTCTAATGCTCAGTCTGAGTATACACTTATGTTAACAGACTTCTAATTTTCCTGGCATAGGACCCTCTTATTTATGGCCCTGATACTTACAAGTAACCCCGCCTTCCTTTAAGGAAAAAGCACATCATTGGTGAAAATATTGTGACAGGTTTATTGTTCCAAAAGCAAGTTTACCTTACTGGGTTGCATCATAATGTTGTTATTATGAGTCAGTGTGACTATTAATAATCAAAAGCTTTTTAAAAACATCAGTTTCTGCTCTGATTTTATGATCTTTTGCAGATTGGAGATTAAACTAATAAATTAATCTTGTGAATTTCATGCCAGTTTTAATTTAAAAAATAAATAGTTCCTCCACCTTCCCTATCATGACCAAAGCAAACAATATATCTAAAAGCAATGCTAACATCCTTTTTTAAAGCCAGATTTCGTTTGCATTCCCTGATCTTTCCCCTGCCCCTCTCTACATTTTCTTGAAATGACTTGACTGTTTGCAGGCTGCACAGAACTTCATTCATGAAGAGGAAATGGTTCAATGCCTTGTTTGTGAGCCCTGAACAATTGGTAACTACAAGCAATACTGGATAAAAATCCAGGCTGCAATAAAGGCCATTTTGCTACTTCATCATATATTTAATTTGAAATAATGATTTACAAAAAATCCAGTGATATATGTTCAAGGCGAGGCTTTTATTTATTAGTATTCTGCAGTCCCTATGCTATGGGTCCTATTCAAATAAAATGCCATTTCCACATGCGCTGGCTAGGAGGTCCGTGAGCTTCTGTGACTCAACATGCACAGAGCATAGCTAGTCCTGATTCAAGAATCCAAAAGCTAATACTCTTCCTCATCTGTAGATCTTATTCCTATAACCACCTTCACATTTGCATAGCTTGTACACATGAATCCCGTCTGCCCTTCTATGAAAGGTGTCTCATATGGATAGCAAGATGAGATCTGAGCAGGGAGGACTGTGGTGTATGCCCATTTGAGAAACGTTTACATATAGGCTGACGTTAGGTATGCCCTGTAATGTAAGTCCAGGGTTAGTAGAACTCGAGTTAGAAGACACAGTTGTAAGTCCAGATTGTTGAATGCTGGGTTCCAGCCTAGGGCACTAGTGTCTATATTGCATTAGATGTTGTACTAACACAGAACAAAAATACTGTCACTACCCCAAAGAGCTTACAATCTAGGAGCTTGTCTGTGTGGCAAGTTACTGCAGAGCAAGCCAGGATGCGCACTCTGAGACTTTCGCTGTGCTATAGCAATGTCCCCATAGAACATTACACCATGGCTAGCTGGTGCACTATAGACTCTCACCTTAGCTTGCTGCACAGACAAGCCCTAAGTATAAGATAAGAGACAACACATGAATACGAATACAAAGATGGGGGAGTACAAGGAAACAGAATTGGTCAGTATGATGGGCATTGGCATCAGCAAACCACGAGCCCAACCATTGTCATGTTTTTTTGTAGGCGTCAGGGAAAAGGAGCGTTTTGAAGGATGATAATGCATTAGTTTTGCAGATGTTACTCTGAACTCTCTTTCTGTTTGGCAGTTCTTTCTCACCCAAGTTTGAGATCAAATTTTCATATCAAGCTGTCCCATGCATACACAAACTACAATCTTTATTCACAGCCCCATGTGTGCCAGAAGTCTTCTGGATATTAGGCACGGGGAAAATCAACTGCAGTTCCTCAAAACACCAAGCCCCCTGCTCACTTCAGTCATACCTTTCCTGCTTCACATTATGTTGCTTTGCTTCTCATGCACTTGCAACCCTGACGGCCACCTCTTTCTCAGAATTAGCTGGAATGTCTCAGTGTCCCTCCACCTCTTCTGCAATCTGAGACCAAAAAAAATTTATTAATGCATGTCCCAGGCAAGAATTTTTTTAAAAACCCTTAGATTTAACTTCTGTCAGAAACAAAGGCTATGGATTAAGCTATGGCGAGGTTTTTTAGTGGCCTTTATGCTCAATATTTTAGATCTATCGATTATGAAATCTAACTCAGGATAATAGGGACTGAAAGTGGCAGTGTGATGGCTGTTTGGGGGCCTGTAAGATATGATTGGATGATCATTGACCAGTTTCCACAGGACAAGTACCCTATATCACATAATTCCTGTTGCAAATGGCACTAACAGGCCATATTGGTGACCTTCTTAGCAAAGCCCAAAGACTGAATGGGTCTGGAGGATGAAATATCTTTTTTAGAGATGGACTGTCCATATGATGGCTACTTAAGGCACATTGGTGTGATTATTGGAGAGGCTGACCCTGCCAATTGCCCATGCTCTACCTGTCTTGTAAACTTTGGTGTCCAGTGCTGTCAACACAATAACTTTTTACAAGCATTATATTAATTCAAAAATTAAAATAATTTATAAAAATGGTTAAAAATAAACTATTTACTATTTTCCAGTCTTTGGTTATGAGTTGAGAGTTAGATGCACACATTAGATCATGGGCTGGTCTACAGTGGGAACTTATATTTGCTACATCTTTCAGGGGTGTGAAAAATCCACATCCTCAAGAGAGACATCTATGCCAACCTAACCCCTGGTATAGACAGTGCTAGGTCAATAGGAGAATTCTTCTATCACCCTAGATACTGCACCTTGGGGAGGTGGATTAATTAAAGCGACAGGAGAACCCTTCTCATTGCTGCAGTGAGTGTCTACATGGAAGCGCAACAGCGGTGCAGCTGAAGCAGTGTTTTAAGTGTAGACATACCCTGAGTAGAGCTAACTACAGAAATGTAAACATGCCAAAGGTAAATTTTATGTTTTATCAAATCTTGAGCTATATTCTACAGAAGTATGGTGGTTGTATGGTAGTTGTGTAAGCATAGTAAAATACATTTCTTTTTGTTATAATCTACATTAATACTGCCTGAAGACACTCCAGGCTCCAATCCAATTAGCCTTTTAAGAGAGTCTTTCAAAGCCATCTGTACACAGGTGGAACATTTAAAGTGTGGTTATGGTTAGAAAAGTTTATTGACTGTAAATGACGGATATTACTTAGCAAATGTGCTCCTTCTACATTCTGAGTTATGTCTATCTACTTTACTGACAAAAATAAGTGTCTATTTTTTACTCCTTAGGAGTACTCCTTACTACTTAGGAGAGGCAATAGAGCTGTGTGAAGGTGAGCTGGATTCATTTCTGTCCCACACATCATCAAGTGAATTAACAGCTAAGTTCCAATTGCAGAATCTTTCTTAGTAGTAGTGATGTGCATCTTCAGTCCCAGATCCTAGGATGAGTTTACGGTGTGGGCAGTTAGAAGTGGACTACAGAGTTCACATCCAGATCTGAATTTTCCCCAAGTTGTAGGATGTTGGGGTTTGGTTTATCTCCATTGCTGCTTTGAATTTATAAACTGAACAAATCTGATAGAGAGTCACTGAGATAAAAAAGCCTTTCAAAGCCAATAAATATTTTTACACCTTTACCTTTCAGAGTATGGACCCGATCCTGCAAATAGATATGCATACATTTTCAAGATTGGGTCTTATATCTGTACGTTTAGTTGATCATGTATGTGGATCAATTGATACTTGATCACTTTTCAATAGAACCTTTATTCCTTCGTTGTGATTCCTAAACTTTCTGAATAAGTTGTTTTAGTCACAAAATAAGCTACAACCTTTATAATTTTTTCTGCTAATAATATAAGTTGAATATAGTGTGAGAAATACAGTAGCCCGCAACCCAGACAAGAAGTTAGAAAAACTCTGATCTGTTATGCTGATGTAAATCAGGAATAACTCAGCTGAACTCATAATTTATACCACTGTAACAGAGAGAAACATATGGACCATTATCATGACTCCCATGTGAATATTTTTTTCCAATCCACCGTTCTGTTGCTGATGAAACTTCAAATATGTGAGCTCCCTCTCCTGCTCTTTAACAGCTTTAACTAGCAAACCATATTACCAGAGATAACGTATTTGTAATGACATAATCTATGATACTGGTACATGGCCAGAGGAAAGAAGAAAATGCATCAAGGCTCATCACGCAAAGGGTGTAAAGGTTTCTAGCTTGACAAAGAAAAAAACTGAGACACAAAAAGATACTTTTTGGATGACAGATTTAAAATATATACCATTTGACACATCACTAAGGAAAAACCAAGCAGTTTAAATAAAATTCAGAATCCAGAAAAGCAAACAGATGGAAGGAACTCACTTTTTTAAAATGAAACCTGAGATTCAGGATAACAACTATGAGAGGCCTGTATGTGCCTGACACACAGCTAGTCTGGCACATCCCCATTTTGAGAAATACTGCCATTGAGTGATGGCTATTAGAATATTTGAAAGTCAACATAAGACATCATGGTATCCATTGTATTGCATTGTACATGGGGTAATTAAAGTTAGTGAAAGGTGTGGCTGCCCATTGGTTGATTAAGCAGTGTTTCACACCAAGAGTCTACCATGCCCCTGCCCTGAGATCTTCACTGGCAGCCTGTGAGTATGCAGGTGGAGTTCAAGGTTTTCTTTTTAACCAGCCCCACTGCTTTTGGTGTTGTGGTACACCAATCCCTTCTAGAGACATCTGGCAACATGCTGGATGTTCCAAGATCTTGAACGCAAGTACTGTAGGCACACCATCCACTAGACTCTGCAGGCTCTCGCTCTCCTTAGATCACCACAAACAATGATATTGTAAATAAATAACTCAGGATTATTTGACTAGGTCTGCCAGAAGTTAAGCAGTGCAACTATTCTAGACACAATAACTTTGAATAGTTACAGCAAACAGTTACATTATTTTCCAATATAAATCCCTTAATGGTTTGGGGCCTGGTTACTTGAGATTAGATCTATGTGAATAATTGATTGGGTTACAAGCAGTTCAAAAAAAAACATTTTAATTGTTTGGGGTTGACCCAAAATGATTTATTTTTTTTTAATTTTGGTGAACCAAAAAAAAATCACTTTGGGTCAAATAAAATGTTTTTTTCTGATTTTTTTCTAAACTTTTTTTTGTGATTACAAGCTTTTGTACATTTTTGAATTTGCAAAATTTCAAAACCTAAAATAATTTCAA